CATTTGTTGCTAAGGCGCCGTTTTAGGTGGAAAAGGCGTAGTGTACCGCGCCCAAGGTAAACAATTGACGTCAAATATCACCTGGGGCAAAAAAAAAAAATCATGTGGCGGAACCTTTGCAGAGAGTTAGCCTTAATAAATATCAATTTCCTTTAATTGGTCGGATGATGATTCTTAAGAATCATTGTTCATATCAAATATGTTTGGGGGCAAATTTAAATTTCTCCCTACTGTTTCATATACTAACTAGTGTTGCACCGATGCCAGTATCGGGCGGGGCCCCGATCCAGCACTAAGATGGTGGTATCGGTATCGGCGAGTACCGATAAATAGGGCACCGATACCATTTTGAGACTTAAAACTTTATTAAACTATTGTCACCCAATGGGAGGCAGCAGCTTGACATGAAGCCATGATGGCAATTATTTTACATCCAAGTAGTCTGCAGTTCTTTATAGATACACACATTAATTTTAAACAGATAGTATCGGCCAATAATGCACAACCAGTTATCAGGTATCGGGGCCAAAAAATGGCATCGGTGCATCACTATTAATAACCTTACATCTACTTCACCAAAAGTTGCTGAATTCACAATAAATTCAGTGAATTTTGTTTTCCCAATTTCCAGCAAACAAAATACAGTGAATTGATTTTAACCATTTATATAAAATCTACTCATTTCTTATGGTTTTATGTTTTAATTGAATAGCAGAACATCTTTTTATTCAAACGGGAACAGAAGCTGCTTTATTGCACTTTAGCACCTGCAGTAAAAATCTCTCTTCCCTTTTGACTCATCAATCCTCACAGCCAATCACTTTTAGACCATCTTTTTATCTTTAGAGCAACATCATCCCCCCCCCACTGAGTATTATAGGTGTTTCATTAGTAAGAATTGAATAAAAAATGAGATATATTTCTATTATTTTGACCTCACAGTGTTTTCATATAGATTTATTTTCTAGGATGTTTTGGGGAATATAATCTAGAAGCTGTATTACCATACCAACTTTATTTATGAAGCACTTTATGCACCGGACAGGACAAAAGTGCTGTATACAATCATAAAATACAATTAAATTATAAAATATATATAAAAAAACGAGTGTAAAGATACAAATTAGTATACAAAGAGAATAAAACAAAGTAAAACCTTTCAAATTGAGCCAAAAGCCAAGGAAAAAAGACGAGTCTTAAGAAGGGACTTAAAAACAGCGAGAGAAGAGGCCTGTATTTGGGATAAACTCCACTGTTTTTGCTCAGCAGAATAAAACTTTCCTGTTTTCTTTTTCTTCTCCAACGGCTGTGCATTTCAAGACATCATCCTGGAGGCACGCTACGGCTCCCAGCATCGTAAACAACGCCGGAGCCGCACGGCGTTCACGGCTCAGCAGCTGGAAGCTCTGGAGAAGACCTTCCAGAAGACCCACTACCCGGACGTTGTGATGAGGGAGCGGCTCGCCATGTGCACCAACCTGCCCGAGGCTCGGGTTCAGGTACATGAACCAGCAGAAGTGCTTCCAGATGTTACTATTTTAAACTAAAACTAGATTGCTTTTATTCAATGGATTCTTTTTTCGGCTAAAAATTCTCAAATGTCTCAGATCATAGAGAATTATAATAAAATAAAGTTATTTAAGAAAGTTTAAATGAAAAAAAAATGAAACTGCATGAATCATTAATTCCTACAGGCTACGAAATTCCTTCCAGTGTCCTTTTTTAGCCTTCAGGCAGGGGCGGAGCTAGATGTGGGGCCAGAGGTGGCCATGGCCACCCTTTTGGCCACCAATACCATTTTTTTCTCCCTCTAATAAACGGTGGCAGCAGTGGTACTCTCAAGTGGAATGTTTAAACTTATTAAATATTGTATTTTTTCTTATATTAACAAATATCTGACAACTAAAACGTTAATTAAGCACATCCAAATACTAACATTAAAGTTGATTAATACAGAATTTATGCTCTTTTTAGAACTAAATATTGTGTTTTATGAGGTAAAGAGAAAATTGTGTGTCTTCAGTAAAATCATAGATAAATAACTACTTTATTAATAACTTAAAAAGCCATTTAATGTAGATTTTAGTACATGTAAATATTAGTTTTATGCAGAACAATTTTTGTTAGAAGTAGGTAAATAATGAAAATGGAAAACATGTTCGCCCCAGACATTTTGTCCACCGTTCAGCATTTATATTTAAATATATACGTCTATTTTTTTAGCAAAGGCTGTAAGAAAAAAGTTTGTCTTTATTTAGAAAATATGGGTGTTGTTCTTGTTCCTGTTAGAACAGTTTTTGTTGACCCTAAAGTTCTGCACTGCAAAAAATAAAATCTAAATAAGTCATTTTTTCTTGAATTGAGGAGGTAAGTGAGACACTTTGCCAATGGAACAAGACTATTTACATTTAAA